ACCTTCATCTCAAGGTCAAACGTCAAATAAGTGCAATACGTTCTTCTCCGGCCCGGTAAATTTTAAACTGTTAAAGATATCTTGATCAAACTTGAAGCATACCTGCATCACCCACAAAAAGTGTGCAGTGCACTGGACTTATGTATCGTGCTTCACTATATACAGAGTTATTGCCCTTTGGGTTTTTTTAAACCAAAGTTTGTCCGGAGCATAGCTAGGTGAACATGTTATTTCACCTATGTTGACCAAATTTATTACATCTATGTATCTTGGGGGCGGAATCTCTCGCACTAAAATCGGGTCGTGTGCCCCACTATATACAGAGTTATGGCCCCTTGTTTATTTTTTATATCGCAGTTTGTCCACTGCATCACTTCTAAACCGTTAAAGATATCTTGATCAAACTTGAAGTATACCTGCATCACCCACAGAAGGTGTGAAGTGCATTAGCAGTATGTCTAATGCCCCACTATATACATAGTTATGGCCTATGTTTATTTCTAATACCGAAGTTTGCCCGAAACATAAGTTCCATGTCATTTCACTTACGTTAAACAACCTTACCATATTTATGTATCCTGGGAAGGCGAAATTTCTCGCACTAAAAGCGGTCTTGTGCCCCACTATATACAGAGTTATGGCCCTTTGTGTCTTTTTATACCGAAGTTTGTCCACAACATAACTTCCATTTTATTTTACCTACATTGACCAAACTTGCTATAGTTATGTACCTTGGGAGATAGGAGTGTCACGTTCTAAATTCGTGTCTCGCGCCCCACTTTATAAAGAGATATGACCCCTTGTTAAATTTGTATACCCAAGTTTGTCTCTAAAGTACCATAGCTGCCGAAACCTTAAGACAATTTAATATGAACCAGAATAATTTAAAAGTCTAATGGTTTAGAGTTTACACACCTTAATCTTGATGTGACCTTTTTATTCATCCAAATATGCATATTGACTAATAAGGGGAGACATATGTTTTTGTTCACAAAAACAAATTGTAGTTTTTGATTTGTTATTTTAAGCTGTAAAGTAGCCGTGATGACATACTTAAACATTATCTCATTGGAAAAATAAGAAATAACGGTGTTTGGTCATAATTAATGTCCTTCCTCGTGAATTAATTTAAAAGGAAATCCTTCTCTGTATGTTTTCACAAACGTAACTAAACCAACTCGCTATAATCTTCGTTTTAGTTTTTTTAGCACTAACATTTAGTCATTGATCATGTTTATTAAAGGATGGGTGCCTACAAAGATGTTTTGTACCCCTGGATGTCCGGACTTTCTCTTTACTAGTATATTCCATGACGTCTTATTGTATCACATACAAAAGAACTTTTACGAAAGCTTGATCAAAAGTGGATTTCTGGGGCATCAAGGGGAAAGGGGTTAATCACACCATTATGTGTTGTTTTCCAAAATATGACAGAAAATTGACAAAATGCCAATTTAAGAACAAAGGACTTGGGGCGTTATAGGGCATTTTTGGCATTATAAAAAGTAAAAAAAATAACTTGAATATATTTACCAATTTCTGTTATAAACATCATATTTGTTAATTGGGGCTATCTTTCTTGGTGCAGATTGTTTCCAATGCGAATGCGTAGATGCCCTACCATAGCAACGAAATGGCGTTGCTATGTAGGAATAGCCAAAATATGGAGTTTTTGGACAGTTAGCATGCAGAAATGAAAGCCTCCGTATGTGACTAACAAAAATTCCTTTCTGCGATTTATTTGTTTGTTGCATGCGGAGGCTCTCCAAAATTGAAGAGTGTTTAGTTACTTTACCTCGAAAAGGCCAATTTTCAACAAAATAGCGCACAACAACGATATTCACGCATTTTATAACGAAAACGCGGGTTTATGTCTCTCTTTGTAATGCCATACCTCCTTAACCAGCTGTTGAAAGAATTTGAAATTTCATATTTGCATACTTCATTTATTCCAGATTACGAATATAACAACTAACTCCAAAACCCCGATGAGGCCGGAAATGACCCTTAACGCCCCTAGTCCTTTGAGCATCCTGTTTTTCATAATCCGTTGATAGTGCAGAATTTGATTTTTATTCCAAAGTGATGGTAGGGGTTTCAAATAGTGTCGATTTTTCAATTAAAACTATTTTCATACTGAATAGTTTCATTTCCCCCCATATTTTTCTAATGGGGAGAGCCTTAGATTATATTGATCGTTCGTCATTTTCATAATAGATTAGGAGACAGAATGGCGACCAGACTGATGAGTATAGTTGAGGTATGGGTTATCAATGACAAAGACTCTTATTATTTTTTGTTTTATATTTTTCTTTAAAGCTTTTCCATCTATGGATTTTCTAAAACATCTTTATATGTATCTCAAAAGTATCTAAAACTTATGCTATCAATGATTTACCGACACGGTCTGAGAAATTTCCATCGAGGTCATAAGTTGAGGTCAATAATGCATGGACCAGGTCTGTAAACCTTAAATAGATGGAAACGTCAGGTCCATTCACCTAAACAGATGTTAAAAGTTTGAGTATAAACTATTTTACACTTAACAAACTCATTCCTCATGTCAAATTTCACGAACTTCAAATCAAAGGATTTTATATACTCTTACCCTGGACAGGTTTATCCATAACTTTACCGGTGTGAGATATTCTTATATCACCCTAGGGTTGAGACGGGGGGTTCCCCTATTCATAACAATAATTCATAATCCATCCCTGTCACGTCAACCCTGAATTTAGCCTGTAACGTTAACGTTACATCATGCATATAGTACACATTGGGTGGACAGGGTAAGAGAAAATTGCCCCCTTGAGGGTGTGATAGGGAAATTACAACCCACGTGGATAGATTCTTAAGTTGCCATACACGCGGCAAAGTCTTGTGTTTGACAACTTGAGATTCCCCTTTCTCACCCTCATGGCTTGAGGGTGAGAGATTCTATTAATCTAAATATCTTATATTTCTAATCTTGAAGTAATATGACAGACTCGTCATATTACGTTTTTCTATTCCGAATGAAGAGTTCGTAGCGACAACTTTAGAATGAGGTTTGAAACAGATTTACAGACCTGAAATACCCCATTTATGTTTTCATTTTACTCCCTCAATGAATTGTTATATTTGACAATTGTTACACATGTGTAAGTGTAACAAAATTATTAACGAAGGAAATCTAGAAATTTTAGAATTGGTTGATTTTAAAGTAAATAATATTTTATATATTAAATATAAATCATAAGATAAAGTATTATACAGTGTATATGTAAAGTATGTAATATCTGACACTTGTTACAAGTATTAACTAAGGAAATCTAGAAATTTTAGAATTGGTTGATTTTAAAGAAAATGATATTTTATATATTAAATCTAAATAATATGATAAAGTATTATACAGTGTATATGTATAGTATATATTGTTTTCTATCTTCGTGAATTGTATTATCTGATACTTGTTACAAGTATTAACTAAGAAAATCTAGAATTTTTAGAATTGGTTGATTTTAAAGAAAATAATATTTTATATATTAAATGTAAATCATATGATAAGGTATTATACAGTGTATATGTATAGTATATTTTGTTTTCTATCTTCGTGAATTGTAATATCTGACACTTGTTACACATGTGTATGTGTAACAAAAGTATTAACGAAGTAACATAATTGTTAACTAAATAACATAAGTATAAACTAAGGAAATCTAGAAATATTAGCAACTGTTTACTTTAAAATAAAGGTGTATATCAAGGCAAAAAAGTTTTTGTTATAATTGGGGAATGGACATGAAACTCTTCAATAAATGTGAGAGTGGAGAGTTCTTAGTCAGACAGGTGAGAACTCATTAAGAGAGGAGAATTCTTAGTGAGACAGATGATATCTCAGTGAGATAGGAGGGTTCTTAGTGAGACAGATGAGATCCCCGTGAGAGAAGATTGTTCTTAGAGAAACAGGTGATATATCAGTGAGAGAGGATAGTTCTTAGTGAGACAGGTGAGATCCCAGTGAGAGAGGATAGTTCTTAGTGAAACAGGTGATATATCAGTGAGAGAGGATAGTTCTTAGTGAGACAGGTGAGATCCCAGTGAGAGAGGCAAGTTCTAAATGGGATGATGAGATCTCGGTGAGGGAGGATAGTTCTTAGTGGGACAGGTGATATATCCGTGTGAGAGGATAGTTCTTAGTGAAACAGGTGAGATCCCAGTGAGAGAGGATAGTTCTTAGTGGGACAGGTGCTAGCTCAGTGAGAGGAGAGTTCTTAATGAGAATGATGAGATCCCAGTGAGAGAGGATAGTTCTTAGAGAGACAGGTGAAATCTTAGTGAGAGAGGATAGTTCTTAGAGAGACAGGTGATATATCAGTGAGAGGAGAGTTCTTAATGAGAATGATGAGATCTCAGTGAGAGAGGATATAGTTTGAGGATCTTTAATACCCTTATATGTACTCTCACACACACTGTTGTAACATGTACACATTGACATGACGTGTGTAGTTGTTATAGTATACTGGACCACCATATCAATTAATGCAACCGCTGATAGGTATTACTTTTACTTGTATCATGATATGTCATCTAACAACTTTGCGAACACAGGTATTGATTGCAACTTCACAATGTACAAATCGTGTTCCTGTCTGGTTCGTTTAAACCTCAGACAATTTATGTATCACTACTTTTCTTAAACAAACCTTAACTCTACTTCTGAATTCACAGTTATCCTATTTGTTTTAATCGATTTAAATTGTTTTTGAATTGGTTTGAAACTGTGACTTAACAAACCATAAAGCTGAAAAGGGGTGATGCGGACACAAGTATCTAAAAGAGGCATTAAGCTTACACTATTCTTATGGCAGGATGCAGGTTCATATGTAGACCCTAGTAGGTGGCTTTACGTTTATCAAGCTGACAATGCTTGATAAAACACAATACAGATTTATATATGTAGACATATCTCAACAGTGATATCTCGGGTGATTCAACCTACTTCATTGTAAACACCTCGCTGTATGATGAGACTGGTTGTTTTCGGAGCTACTGGGCCTACTGGTCAATATGTTGTAAAGCAGGCACTGGCGAGAGGTCATTACGTGCATGCTTTGGTCAGGAGCCCGGGTAATCTAACGACCGATGATACACACCTAACAGTAAGTATAGGAGTGGTAGTTCTACTCTTAGTTTAGGAAACAAAATGTTTACGCTCAATTTATTTAAAGATTCAACACATTTATTCTATACACATCAAAAAATTCTTTTGTGACTACAGCTTTGAATCCATGCAGAAAAAACTTAATGTCTAATTTTGTGACGTCTCTAGACGGAGATATCCATATCGGCCTCTCCAGCACAGTAATCGTTGACATACCGGTACAATGACTACGCTCAACCGGCACGGTGGTATCTATGTAGGCCTCCCCTCACCAACACGACGTATGTTGACATGTTCAGATAGAGTCCAGTGGATTAAACGGGCACGTTTAAGATTTACGTCATATGTACAATTAAGACGAGCAGGGGAGAATAAAACCCTAGGACGCATCCATAAATCTAACGTGTTCGTGGTGTATTTCCGGTCAGCAATAGTATACGTTATAGCAATTATATTATTTAAATATTGAATATAATTAATTTGATTTTAGAATATTAAATAAACAAATTATTGCTGAAAAGTACAGCAATGGAACTAAGCACCAATTATACCAACATTAGTAACGCCTTTTCCAAAAACTAATGTCAGGATCAACATCTCTAAACAAAAGTTATGGGTCATTGTTTAAATGTAAGTATGGTAACACAGTTCTCCAAGAGTAACAGAAGGAAGTTTATTTCGACTTGCCGTTGTCCATAAATCCTGTTCCTATATTTCATATAGTAATGCACATTTTAAAATATCATGATGTTCCTGTTGACGGGTTTATTCTCATCACTACAAAGTATAAATAATGTGTGGTAAATGTACTTGGTTTATTGTTGACAATCGAAGAAAATAATGCAAAATATTTTCACATTGTTTCCCAGCGGGTTGTTCTACAAGGTTAACACAAAATAAGTCACATTTTAGAGAAATGTTTTGGTAGTACAATTTCTTACGTATTGCATTAATGTCTCTAATGCCGCTTTCTTGGTTATTTGTGTCAGTTGTAACTGGTTTACATATCATGAAATAACATTTTGGAATGCCTACAATAATGAAAAGTTAGGTGTAACGTCCAGGTCCGTCTGTAATCAAAGAGTTGTAACAAAAAATCTCTCTCTTCTCACTAGATATTGTGTTTAGACCAACTGCGTGGAGTAAAATAGAATTATGATAATGTGGAATCGATTTGTCTTTCATTCCTATAGTAAGTGTAGTGTTTTACGTCTATCACAGAGAATATTTAGTATAAAACTACCCAGTATACGGAATTGTTACTTATGAAGGTTATCCAGTAATGATACGAGCTGTTTCACGCCGGGATTTCTTTTTTTTCAATTTTGAATTACACACGGTTTGTTCAACCTATCATTTAACTATTTTTCAAATCCAGTAAAGTGAACATGTTTATACTTAAACAATGTAATGTACCTGTCGTGGATCGTACAAACCCATTTGTCATACACTCAGATAAAACATATTGTTCATCTACGCGCGTTTTTATAATGCCAATAATAACAGCTTATGAAATTTTGAAACACTAATTGGTTGTGTAACGAGAAAACTTTCATATTCCAAACTTGCCAACCTGAAGAAAATGTTTAGAAATAATAATGCCAAAACATAATATTTCAAGCAAATCTTCTATTCAGATGACAAATAGATAATTCGTTTGGACAGTATCTTGACTGAATGATGGCAATTCCGGTAAGAAAATTCCAGTAAATCAAATATCGAAAAAAATCTTAATAATTCTAAGGATTTCATTTCAATAATACTTCATTTTAGTCTTCGTCGTAGTTTTTATCTACAAAATATGCCCCAGTTAACGCTTTTCTTTTGAAAACAAAAACTAATGTTGTCGCGCTAAAATATATGACGGTCATTTCCGGCAGGTGAAATTTGGGGAAAACACGTAAGTTTCCTTTGAGTTTTCCTCTCTCCTGACATATAGACCCCATGTGCGATTCCATATAAGTTGACAAGAGTGAATGATATCAGTTGAAAGAAGATAATTGTTTCAAAACTATTGTACAAAATACAATACTGTGATATGTAAATTGCCATCTCGTCACGGAGAATGGTCTTGTTGTGTAAACTATTTTTAAGATGTAATTTTAACACAAAATTAATAGATAGCCTTGATTTCTCTTCTTTTTTCAGAAATCTAGGGTAAATATATTCAAACCAGAGGAAATACATTCTCATTTAAGCGGAAGTGACGCATTAATATCATGTCTAGGAACCAGAAAGCTTGCATTGTTCGACAGGTCAAAGGTCACATTATACACGGAATCTCTACAGAGCATCGTTGAGGCTATGCGCATGTCCAGGACGAAAAGACTCATCTGTCTGTCATCATGGGGAACAATGAGTAAGCCAGCTCCCATATCTCACAGTGGTTATAATATAATATTTAACGAATTAGAATTACGTTCTACCGACAAAAATTGAATATGACCAAGAAAGTATATGTTTATATTTACGAAATGCCCTGATTATACTACAATAAACGGTATTGTATGTATAAAGGCGTATTCAATGTATTTTCAAATTATTTTCAAAACATTTGTTGTGTGATAGGGTACTCCTATGACTGCACACGACTTCCGAGGTCCAGATAAAGTTACAGTCAATTACGCTCTCTTTCCTAGGACCACTGTCCTTGCAGAGGACCATGGGGATATTTCCGATCGGTAAACTGCTGGATAACATGTTGGAAATGGAGGAATATCTGGACAAGCATTGCTCCCACATACACTATACCGTAGTAAAACCTGCCGGGCTTCTGCAGAGGGAGGCTTCCGGTAAGTACTTCCCGTTCGTTAAGGGTGTCGTTATTTGTAAATGGTTTGTACGGTGTACCATTCATACATACAGTCCATACCAGTAAAACACGAAGTTCTTTGTATTAGTTGGATAGGTACATTAAACAAACAAACAAAAACACTGCAATTAATAGCCCACTGCAAATAAAATCAATCTGGTCAAGAGCTCGTATGGGATATCGAAAAAACAAACATCAGGTGTTTGATAAGACTTAAAGTTAAATTTATTGGAGTGATACTTCTTTGGGACCGGGCCTTTGTCATTTGCAAAATCTCCAATTAATCATTATGATAATGTATTGGCAATAGATAGTTGTGTTTTCTTTCATTTCCTGTTTACATCATTGACCAAAACCTAAACGCCACGATCCCACTCGCACCTACCTGAAATAAGACACATAAGTCAAAAAATGTTGTTTTTTTTTCATTGGTTGTGGTAGAGCTGCCGTTATTGACGTCAGACCAGGAACGTGTGCCCGGTTGCAAGATGACGATAGCCCGAGGTGACGTGGCCAGGTTTGTCCTTCAGTGTGTGGAACAGGGCACATGGATAAACTCGCGTGTTGCCATTGGAGTTAGAAAATAAAAATAAACAGTGTCTGTCATGGTGGACACTACGTATTATATATTTATTTAAAGAACAACAAATTAATAAATATCAATAATGACATATAAGTTTGTCGTTTTTTCCTAGTCATTCTGTTGTTGAAATAACTTATTTTAATATAAACTTTAAAGTTACCATTAACCAGTCATAAAGCATAAATGCAATCTCATTTATTTCCATTTATACTTAAATCAAAAGGTTCAGTGACTTATAAGGTCAACATGTCTGTCAAACAATAATATTGATAATATTTGTATATGACGTTTATTAAGCGTCCTACATTTGATTTATCACAATAATAATCAGCCATACAGTTCAAATATATATATTTACATTTGCATGGCATTGTCACTATATAGCCTCTTTGAAAGCTGTGTCGTTGATGGGGCTTTAATTACCATGCAGCACGAGACACAATTCTTAGCGTATTAATACAACACTGACCGGAACTACAATATCCAATGTAAATAAACATGACGGCTGCTGAAGTGTTTGTTAAAATTTCAAAGTCCTACTTTGTTTGCCAATCAGCACGCGACAATACGCTGTTCAAATTATTGAACGAAATTATGTGGACGTTCGATAAGGCGGGCATTTTTAATTTTAAATATAAATTATAAGTTAAAAAAGGACATAAGAGGAAGAGGAAACGTAAATATAAGTATTGAACTGTTTTTGAATGGTATTTATGATCTATTTGAATGACAGCTTTTCAAGCACGCATTATGTTGTTTGCTTGCAAAGCTGTGTCATTCAAATAGATCATAAATACCATACAAAAACAGTTCAATGCTTAAATATTCACATGTCATTCAATATGCGTGTGTATTGTACTGTAGCATGATGCTTATCGCTCATATTCCATGTACATGAAACCAGCGACATTATCAAAGCTCCCAGTTATTACAAAGATAAATGTAAATTGAGAAAACGTTATGCATACGATAAATAAAAATAACTCGGTCTAAAGAAAAACTAAAACGCAGGCCAAAACATGTCGGATTTACACACTTCGTGAAAGTTGCATTGAGAAGCTTTACTTGCGACAAATACAGACTATAGACTGCCACCACGAGATGTTTCTCACATACGATGAAAGTGAACAATGCTGTATGACAGCACGGCTATTTTCTCTGTGATAAAGCTTGTGAGGTGACCGAAAAAACATGCAACGAGCACTGGCAGACTTGTGTATAATGTACCCAATCCAAATCCCTATAAGGACATCATTACCATAAAAATATATTTAGTAGTGTAACTTAACATGTATTGCACTGTTGACACCTTTGTTGTAAATGTTTGATTGAAGTACATGGTAGAGGTGATGTCGTTCTCTTACGTCCTGTAACATCAATACAATCTGTATGTCCTCTGTTGTATGTGGGTGTGGTTCCTGGTTTTCTATCATGACTCTCATATTTTGAAAATCCAAATCTTTTGTGGTATTAATGGAAGGAATATCAAATTCTTTATATCTTTCAGGCTTTCAGGCTGTGTTGAGCCTTGTATTGTCTTTCTGGTTGAAAAGGGATACATCAGAATAGTTTTGAATCAGTTGCATGTAGTATGATGCTGTAGTCGATCACAACCAACGTCTGATGAACACGGCTAACATATCTGCTTCTTCGTATTCTATAAGGAAACAATAGCCACAGCATATTAATATTGGCTCACATTGTAATAAATTTGAGCAGTGATTGAACAGAACTGAACCTGAATTAAACTTAATCAATAAACATTTTACCAACACGACACATGATTGCACCTCGCCTTTGTTACAGCGTTTCTGATTGGCTAAATGTCATCACTGCATACCTACACAACATATTATTATACCTTACCTTTGTTACAGTGTTTCGGATTAGTTTAACCCTAGGGAGTTGAGAAAAGTATTTGCTGGTTACAAAGGCCCTATAACCACGGATAATAATTTGTGAACCGCTTTGAGACGACCTTCGAACTAGGTTGTGATAAAGCGGTATATAAGAACCTCGAATTATTATTATTATTATTATTTAATGTCATCACGTTACCAGAAGACAGGCAAAATTTTCAACCGAAACGAACTAAACATGTTAAAGAGATGTTTTCTCTGTGGTATATTACACAATTTATGTAGTAGGGAGTTATGAATCACTTCTGGAAACAAATCTTCATATCTCCCTACAATCTAGATGATAAATATCTTATATAACAACACAGTATTCCTTCCAAACGTAACACACGTATAGTTACACAGTGGAATAATAGGACTGGTATATATTATTGGAACAAATAACGCACTCCAGTTGACGAGAGAAATGTGATTATGATAATATACAAGAAAGGCAGAATACATAGCATCGGGCACCTGTCGATCTATTTATCTCACTCGTGACGTTACAGAAGTTTCCGTGCTAATTTCTTTTCCATTTTATCTCAACACCTTAGTTGCATTGGTATACAGAGATATGTAACATACACAGATTTAATGTTTACAGTACTGAGCATGCGTCGTTGTACAGAGGGATACAGTATAATAGAAGCCGAGGTGTACTGTATTTATAAACAATAAATACTTTCATGCGAGAGATCAGACATAATCATGTTTTATAAAGGTTACATATTATCTTAGGAATGCTTTTCTTAATTTGCTTGAGAGAAAAGTCGCTACAGAATTTTGATTAGTGATGAACAAGCATAACACTATCTGATCTCTATCATTGCCTTATCGTATCAATCCGAGACTGTGTTGTATTACATATACTTAAAGTGTATTGAATATTTGATGTTGTAACGCCCAGTCGACAACATCATCACTGTTGCTAGATTTATTACATAATATACAGTATGAGGCACGTTAAGCTAAATTCTATCTGAATAGCAAATAAAGGTAATAAATAAAACCGTATCAAGTTTGATCAACTTTTAGACAATCGCTATTATTAATCATACTGTTTTTTCGTGACCTAATAAAACTCATACACATATCAGAAGTTTAATGTTTGAACACGAAGCATATTTGTTTGCTGCCTTTCCCGAATGTGGACAGGTTATTTCAAACGTTTAGTTTCTGTATAACCCAGTTATATTGTAAACAATCAATACGACGGATGGTGATTGGGAACTTTTCTACCAGAAAATAGTTTTACACGATATTTTAAAATAAATGTTTTGGAAAGTGTAAGAGATATCTCTTTTATTACAAATGATGTATCTCCTAAGGACCCATTTCTGTGCTACACTGTTTACTGTGGAATGGCGCTTTGTGCTACATATATGCTCACGCCTGCAACGCCGTGATAAACAAACAAGCAAGTTCACAATATAATATAAAACAAAGGAAGTATACCTACCATTACCTGTTACATTCAATTAACAACGACAGTAGTACCTTTCTTTTCTATGTCATATCTCATCATCGTCTACTTAATGAAATTGTGTAAAATTTTACTTTGCATTGTTCATCCGGCTTTTCTACAGGCAACGCCAAAATGCATGTGTCATATTTTTTTCTGTGATTTTTCCTACTTTATTTGAAGAAATTGTAAGATTAACGAAAACCTCATGATGTTATTGAAAAACTTTTTCTCTATATATATTTTGATCTTTTAACTGTTATAACCTCAGTAATATGTTTTAGGTAGTGGCACGATTCATAATATACACACTTTGGTAATCATTTAATTTGAATTTAAGTAGTACTTCCCTATTTATTTTTTATTTTTTTATTCGTGTCTAAGGGGTTTTATGCATCCCCCTTCTGTTTTAACTGCTGATAACACCCAATTGGGATTCCAACTGTTCGGCCATTAGCATCCCCTTCAGACGTAGAAAGACGAAACAGTAGTAACATGGAGTGTAATTGCTCTTAGGCATATTGTATTGACAACTAAAATGTTAAGATGCAGTCAGCTGTTTGTATGTATCGTTATTTGTTACCGTAGCAGTAAAAATGTGTGCTGAACAGGACGTGCAAAGGAACTTGTATTGCAATGGCGATGCTCAACACCGTCGACAGGATTGACTAAGTTGGATGAAATGTTTGTCAAGTGTTTCCAGACGTGTATCGATGATTTTCAGTTAAGTGTTACATAAGGTGTACGGGTGATTCCTTTTACAGTGTTACAACATGCATTGTTGATTTACACTACAGTGTTACTAGACGTGTATAGATTATTTACACCCAAGTGTTACTAGACGTGTATAGATTATTTACAACCAAGTGTTACTAGACGTGTATAGATGAATTATACTATAATGTTACTAGACGTGTATAGATGAATTACATTACAGTGTTACTAGACGTGTATAGATGAATTACACTACAGTGTTACTAGACGTGTATAGATGAATTACATTAGTGTTTCTAGACGTGTATAGATGAATTACATTACAGTGTTACTAGACGTGTATAGATGAATTACATTACAGTGTTTCTAGACGTGTATTGATGATTTACACTATAATGTTACTAGGCGTGTATTGATGATTTACACTACGGTGCTACTAGACGTGTATAGATGAATTATGCCTAGTGTTACTAGACGTGTATAGATGAATTACACTACAGTGTTACTAGGCGTGTATTGATGATTTACACTACGGTGTTACTAGACGTGTATAAATGAATTATACCTACAGTGTTACTAGACGTGTATTGATGATTTACACTATAATGTTACTAGACATGTATTGATGATTTACACTATGGTGTAACTAGGCGTGTATTGATGATTTACACTATAATGTTACTAGACGTGTATAGATTATTTACACTACAGTGTTTCTAGACGTGTATAGATTATTTACACTACAGTGTTTCTAGACGTGTATAGATGAATTACACTACAGTGTAACTAGACGTGTATATATATTTTTATACTACAGAGCTACCAGGTGTGTTTAGATGTTTTATACTTCAAAAGTTACGTTCGGTATGCTTGGACCCATTGACGAAAATGACATTCTTTTTTGCATAACACATGTGAGCTTATTACTGCGTATTGACACACTAAAATGACGTAGCACACGACGTACTTGGTTCACGTCCGCCGTGGAACAGCCCTCGATGTTGTTTTGTTATGCTATTATGAATTAGTATTAAACATGATGGACTTGATTTTAAAGCTTAAATTAAGTGTGTAAAGTACAAGATAATAATATACCACTTGTATAG